ATGTTTTAAGCACACTATTCAGGGGCAAATGGTGTTTTCTCCTGTGATTTTTCAACTCGAATGTGGTGAAGATCCCACCGCCTTTAACCCAAGAGGACATTGGTGTTATGAAAGCTACAGTATCATTGGAATTTACAAGACTGATTGGGAAAACATCTCAGGTGCTTAAGCGTGTGTATTCATTATGATATCAATTCAAAATATTTATTATTTGATACGGTAGGGTAGCYCTCCTTATATGCATGGGGCCCTCTCAAACGACGAATCTCACWTGTACAGAATCAATGAAAATGAACATGGAAAAGACAGAGATARTCATCTAAGCATATATACTGCATCATGTATTAACGAGTTTCCCGTTAAAAGTTACTTGCCAATGACGAGTAGCTCATCTTCTACTGTGAATCGGGGTCGAGATGGGCTTTTTGCTCGAAGCTCTTCAAAATTTGCCCGTTTGATCCTTTTTGTACAGGGTTTGCTCCATTTTTTTCCGTTTTGGGCCGGTTGTAGGAAAGTTGAATAGCGCTATCCTCCCCATAAAGCCTGTATAAATCCATATCCACCGGATAAAATCCATWCAAAATCTATGGAGTGGAAAACTTTATCCAGTCTTCGAACAACTGGCTCCTGGATATGAATTCATGCTGAATAGGGCTCGGAAATGCCATTTCCAGCGTTTTGAGGCGTTATCCAAGACATATTTACCACAGACACGGTCAGCAATATTATCAATAAAATCCCAAAGACTTCATAAGGAGGCTCTTCGCTTCTTTATTTAAGAAAATTCAAAATGTCGGAAATATTATTGGGGGGGCTATAGCCCCCCAGCCCCCCCTGCTCCGCGGTCCCTGAATTGACATCAAACGAGAAACTCGTCTTAGTGCGAATGCTTTCAGTACTTTCAGTACTTTCACGGTTACTTAAAAKAGTCATTGACTTTCATTCGACTTTTATTAATAATTTCTTTATATTAAAAATCCATCTCGTTGTGAAATAGCTATACTAGAAAACAACTCCTATCAGTGYGCCTAAAGTCAATAATTTCATAATTCTAGGAATGGGCAGGAAACATTTAGGACAAAAGCAAGACTGGAGTCTAATCCAAAAAATWAGAAAGTCTGGATTAACAATCGTGCGTCACACGTACCAACGTCTCTTCCGATATTACACTCCACATCGAGAAGAATTTTTCAAAGCGCACTCTTCTGTGCCMATTGATGYCGGGTATTTGGAAARGGATGACCACTAGTAGACTCCGGTGCTATGAAAGAGCCTTCTTTATCTTCTCTTCAAATGTTGCTAATATCCCCATAAYAGCAATTCCTGTTATAAGTCCAGCATTTTGTAAGACTATTATTAATCCTTTGTTCTCTGTGTGTGTCGATGTTGAATGTAGAAGCTCGGGTAACTAGTAAAAGAAAAACATGAATTTAGTTGCAGCTAAAACTAATTAATTTTTTTTTACTGTTTGTACTAATATTTAGCTTAACACGTTTGAGTTCAGATTTTTTTAGAATACTTTCTCAAATAGCAGAATTAAATTAAGCCTGTACTGATGAATAATAAATTAATTACAGTTACAAAGAATACTGTGCTATATATCTAATGTAATTGATGTTGGGCTTTTTACTAAAATCGTTAATAGAGGGTGGAGAGAATCCAAGAAATCAGAGCCGGTCATAAGCGAATCCCGTAGTGGTAAATTGTATTGCAATATCTGGTAGTATATCATACCATTTCAGCAAGTGCAACAAACAGAAACATTCCAGCAGTCACTGCGAAGATCCAGTCTGTAAGATCTAAAGCAGTTCCCAGTAAAGCTCCAATTACAACCCCTACATACATGACAGCCAATGCTAAGGCCTGATACACAAGACTTCTTTTGATAGTCAGTTTACTTGATACAAGAATTGCAAAATTACCTGCAGAAAACAGATACTAAAATGATTAAAAGTACACTTTAAGGGCATATCTCAGTGCTTACGTGCTGACATTATATATTGATAATCATAGGAAACTGAAGAATACTGCGGAATTTCTTTTTCTGTGTGAAATTTTTTTCGATATTCCAGCTTAATATGTCAAGAAAGACATATCCTGATATGCGCATTTGTAATCTTTCGAAACCGCTGTTCCAATGAAGCTGAGGTTTTCTCGTAAAACTCTGACCACTGTTATGAGACAAGTTTTAAAACACACTGATATAGAAATAAAGGAAAGCTATAGTGCTAGCAAGGAGGTTATTCCGGGAGAAAGACCCCTGGGAATGAATTCGCTGGGATTCGAACCCACGACCCTCGGATTTGTACTACCGATGCTCTACCAGCTGAGTTACAAGGTCATTCATGTCTTTACAACACACTACCCACCTTCTCTAATTAACTCTTAAAAAATTTATGCAAGTAATCCTGGATTAACGCTAATCATGCTTTGAACAACGTGGCTCTAGATATCTAGCATTCAGTTACCAACAAAAGCGATCATATTGAAAAAGAGCCTAATCATGCTGCTACTCTACTAGATTAACAATGATCCATTCAAGGGATAAACTTCTGAACCTTTTCCGTCAACACTT